TTTTTAGACCAGCACACCCATCAGATTACAAAGTGGCACAAATGGATTTGCTATTTAAACAACAATGTAAATCGTGAAAATTAGGGTTGGCTGGTCAAAAAATAGCAACAAATCGCGCCAAACATGTCTTGCGCCTTATTGCGCCAGGTGTATAATAGGGTCCTAAATGTTGTTTATAGAGAACTCCTGATTTTGACATGATGTTTTATTTTGTTTTGTTGTTTTTTTTTCAGCATAAATGCAGAGATGATGTATAGGTCCATTAAGTTGATTTTCCTTAAGCCACAATTTAAGCACAAACCTCACTAAACTCTGAGAACTTAACAAGTAAAAAATCCAAACTTTTTCTTTTTTCCTCCAATCAAGAGGCAAGCTGAAATCCCAACCCAAGCACACAGTGACTATGTGAACTGCTAAAGGATTATTTCATATAGCTCAATTTTTCCAAATGTGGATTTAGGGTCTTTGGAATAAAAAGGATTTAGTTTACTCAGCACAAAAACCAAACTGCTATAAATGCTTGAAAATCCCCAAATCCTGTCACTGCTTGCTTCTCCTTAGCAGCAGAAAGAAGTATGTTCTAAAGAGACAACATTTTATAACCATGTCTAAAATGATCTCGCCACACACTCGCAGCTGGTTTGCATAAATGCAGCGACAGCACATCGCCTGGCAGAACTTCAGGTGATATTACAACATTTGAGTGTTGTATAAAGAAAAACATCTAATGATGGCTAATGCCAGTTACAAAAACGCAGACATGAACATGCAGTAGTTAAAGTGAACTGAACAAAACAATCTGTACAAAATACTGTCATTCAGGGTCTACTCTTATTGTGAGTCCGAAGTGTTTCGACTAAAAAGTACAAAGATCTCAGTTTAACATATTTTCCTTATAAAATCAACACAGTGTACACTATGACCTATAGCAAGGGACTTAAGTTCAGGCAGTTCATGAAATAAGTGTAGAACTTTATTCAAAGGTTTGGAGTTCAAAAAATATCTGCTCAGCAAGGCTGCAAATTTTCATTAAAAAAAATGCAGCCAAAACTGCAATATTGAGAAATATTATGACAAAGTAAAATAACTTTTGAGCTTGAATGTTTGTGTTAAATCTAATATGAAAAATTATTTTTTATTGGCCAGTCCAGATCTTTCATCATGACTTGGTGCTTGAAATACATTTATTACCATCAGTGTTTAGATACTTACTTACTTCCAGGACCATTTATTTTGAAGTTGATATTTAGCCGCACCATGTTGGTGTTCATAACATTTAATTTTTATGAGGTGGGTATTTAGCCCAACGCTCAACCCCCAACCTCGAGGACCAGGACATACACATCGAACAATTTAGCTAACCCAATTCATCTATAGCACATGTCTTTGGACTTGTGGGGGAAACCAGAGCACCCCGAGGAAACCCACACAAACACGGGGAGAATATGTAAACTCCACACAGAAATGCCAGCTGAACCAGTCGGGGCTTGAACCAGCGACCTTCTTGCTGTGAGACGACAGCCCTACATACTGCATCACCCTAATGTTTAGATAACAAAACATAAATAATACATAATACAAAACAGTTCCTGCTACTAAACTTTTTATTTATATTTTTCATATAAATCTTTTGTTACATGATGTTGATAATGAATAAATGTTGTTGCATTTCATACTTGCTAATTAAACAAATATATGTAATTTATTAAAGCCCTATTGACTTCAACTGTTTAAAAGGTTTTAATAAATACCTTTATTATCACCAATAAGTGTCTTAATAAAGTCTCTACTTCTGGTGATTTGTATGTCAACCAAACTCTGGAACAGGAATCCAACGACATGGTGTGCGTTAAGAAAATCTATTGGGGGTGGGGGGGTTGTGTTTTGGAAAGTGAAGCTAAATACGCTTGGAAATATGAGCTAAAATTGAGTAAGAGAGAAAAGATGATGGTAAATCATGCAAACGTTGAAAATTCAGCAATGAACACCACACAGATGCTAGATGATAACATCCTTAATGTGGTTTTGTAAATTGCTTATTTAACAATATCACAATGAATGATTTAGACAATCCTGGCCCATGGACTCATTTGTTTAGGCTGTGTCACCACAGAGTTGGCAAAGGGGGTGGAGTATTGCCCTCTTTTAGTCTCCTGCCCTGTCGTTATGTCCTCTGGTGACCGAGCGAGCTCTCATACATCAGTTTGAGCTGTCTGTGCTTCTGTTGTGACAAGAATGGAGGGGCTTCATTTGTAGCTTGACCACTGTTTGCTCACAGGGCAACCAGGGGAGAAGAGGAGGGGTCAGACCCAGTGTGACACACTCCTAATGGGTGTCCTCGCTGCGGCTGAAGCCTCAGGGCATGACCACACTGGTCCAAAATGTTTGTTTTAAAAGCAAACTTGAAACACCTCCCAAGAGCAAAGGCTTATTTCAGTGTTAGGTGCTGGATGGACAGAACATTTATTAGCTTTAGTAAGCTATGGTAAAGATCAAAATCATCAAGAGAGCTTTTATCATGTTCATTCATCAGAGGAAAATGGACTGTGCAGAAATGACAATCTTGTATTGGCTAACACCCAGGTCATGATACTCTTACATATATAAACATGTGTACATATATATAGAGTTGTTGAACAATGAAACTAAAAGGTCTGGTTTTAGACCACATTAATTCATTAGTATGGTGCAGGGCCTCCTTTAGTGGTCAATACAGCATCAGTTCATCTTGGGAATGACAGATACAAGTCTTGCCCAGTGGCCTGGGACTTGGGAGTGCTATTCATCTTGCAGAATAGTGGCCAGGTATTAAAAACTATAAAACTATTAAAAACCATGCCCAACTAGTATTGGGCCTAGGAAATACCATGATATTGCAGCCCATACCATCACTGATCCACTCCCATGCCTCACTCTGGACATGCAACAGTCTTGGTGGGGTGCTTCTTTGGGGCTTCTCCACACAAAACTCTCCCTGATGTGATGGTGGACTCATCAGAGAACAATATATGTTTCATATTGTCCACAGCCCAATATTTAAGCTGCTGGCACAGTTTAAAGCAACAACTGGCATTAGCACGCATGACCAAAGGATTGGCTATAGCAGCTCGGCCATGTATATCGACCCTGTGGAGCCCTAGATTAACAGATTTGGTGAAAACAGAAGAGTTGACGTGCACTTTTAATTTGGCAGCTATGGTTTAAGATTTTTTGGATACAATCTAGGTTAGCACCTAGACAACTCTTTCTGACAGCTTTCTCTTGCATCCAGAGTTACTACTGTTGGATGTGGTTCCCCATCTTGGTGGTTTGCTGATATTAGCCTGGATACCGTGGCTCTTGATACATCAAAAGACCTACTGTCTTGGTCACAGATGCGACAGCGAGGTGCGCACCAAAAATTTGTCTTCTGATATGTTACCCTTAATGCTGTAAGCATTGCAATATTTTAAGCAAAACTGTGCTAATTCACTGCGAATTGATCAGATTCAGCCATGAAACCTCCAACATTAAATTAGCCAGTGTTTCAGTTTTATTGTCGAACTTATATAATATGAATGTATGTGTGTGTATGTGTGTGTGTGTATATGTATGTGTGTGTTGTGTCAGGACAATGCATTTTAGGCATTTAGGACAAGGGTGCCTGATTCCCATTGATCTCTATTGATATATTGTATCATGAATACACTCATTAAACTGTATCCATTCACACTACAAATAAAGAAAAAATTCAAATACGTAAATGTTTTCTTGCAGCAGCTCATTAACACGCTGTGATTTACTGATTAACTCATTAATTTATTTGATCCACTTTGGATTCGCCCCTCTGCATCTGTGCCCATCTGACAGCAACTCACTGTGACATAGATTCCCGAGCTCTAATATAGTCACTTTGGATGAATTTTGTTTATTTTATATTACCGTTTGAATAATATGTATTGGTTTCCAAAAAAATTAAAAATACAACAAATAAGCTTTCCCAGAGATGGGTTGCGGCTGGAAGGGCAACTGCTGCGTATAACATGTGCTGGATATGTTGGCAGTTCATTCCGCTGTGGCGCTCTGAAGAAAAAGTTGTGTTTACTTTCTAAATATTTAAAAATAAATTTGAGTAAATTTTTTAGTTAAAATCTTTTCAGTTCCTTTTTTTAACTAACACTCACTGCCTTTCAGCAGTAAGAAGTTATGATTAGGGCCAGACGGAATCTGCGGATGTTTTTTGCTATTTCTGTGGAGAATTTTGGAAAAAATCTGCAGATTTTTGCAGAATTATTTTGGGAGTATCCAGCGGAGTATCATAACTAAAACCTTAATATATGAAACAAAAAGTAATAAATTACTGAATAAAAACTTTACACATTTACTCAAGTAAATAAACAATTAATGATGGGCTAAAAATCTGCAGAATTCTGCGGAAAATCTGCGGAATTCTGCGCGCGCAGATTCCGTGTGGGCCTATGATACAGATTAATGAGCAGAAGCTTGACTACAGAATAAAATCACAAATCAAATCGAAATCACAATATCTGTCAAAAAAATAAATCAGTTAACTATTTTCCCCAAATCGCAGAGGCCAAGTGGAAACATCATGTATGGAAATTACTAAAACTTTTTAATAGTTTTCAGAATCCTTATTTTTTATAGATCATTGCTTACATTCAAACAATATTTTATAATATAACTGAATTTAATGTATTTATAACAGTCATTCTAACCAATATTGTTTTGGTCAAAAATTTCTTCAGATGACTGCCAAGAGATTCCATGAATTCATCATCATGCCGTTTCAAAATTTCAATCCTCTTAATTTCTTTCCTCCTTGGTACAATTACATTTTTAACACAATGATTGTAAAGATGACTTTTGCAGAAAGAGGTTTAAAGAGGATTTTTGACAATATAGGAGACACTAAATGTTGACAGATTTTTATTTATTTATTGTTTTTAGTTGTTTTTTTATTTATCTGAACTACTTCTGTATGTCCTGTGTGCTGCTCTTACTTGTCATCTATGATGGAGACATGGTTGGCTGGGATTCCCAGAACTGCACAGCTGTCCATCAGTTCCTTTTTGCGTTGCAGTCCTTGATTGTTGTAATTGCCTGAGCATTGCAGAAACATTTAATGTGTCTCTTCTGCTTATACAACTATTACAAATACTACTGCAGAAGTTCAGCTTTCTTTATTAAACCCAATCAGAGTACAAACAGAAACAGATTATTATTTATTGACAGAATAATAAACCTACCTGTTGACAAACATAACAAATACACGGCTGCACGTGATTCAACTAGCCTTAAGACTGTAGGTGCAAAGAACATGCATTCATCATCTGGATGTGCAGTGACAATCAGAGCTCGAGTCTCGCGCGGATTCTCATCCTCTGAATTTGGAAAGAGCGCGCCGGACCTCTCTTGCGCTGGGCAAAACCTCGAGTTTCCGACGGTGTATAAAGGGGTGGATATTTTATTCAATGCGTGTGGCCATAACTGGCTGTGTCTATAATACACAAACTTTATAAAGACAGCGTAAGCCACCAAGACAAATGAAATGGTAAAGAAAACAAACATCTCGTCCGCGCCATTAAAAAGTCCGTGTGGAACATCGTATCCTCCTCAATGGTTCCTACAGATCGGATTGTTTACACTTAAATGACTGGATTATTTTAGGAAACTTTAATATTATATTTATTTCCAACCTATACAAATCGTGCATTTTTTAAAGTAGCAGACAACAGTTGCACGACGGAGTTAATGCAATTTTTTTTAACAAACACGTTTAATATGAATTATTTCAAAGGCGGAAGCAAATGTAAAATAATCATTAAAAGGCGAATTGATTCGTTTCTATAAGATAGTTATTATCAAACATCTATTTTGCTGCAATTCTGTTGTACAGTAAAAGACGGAGAGTGAGGTTTGGGTGGGGTGAAGGCCGCCTGTGGGGAGAGTTTGAACGTCACACCGTTTCATCCTGTTTGCTAGAGGAAAAACTTTCAGTCCGTCTCATCTGGTGCACCAGAGCTGCACAAAATGCAAACCACCGGGTGTTTAGCAAGCAGAGACCGGTACGCTCGTGACGTATATTAATTTCTGACGCGGAATGAGACAGAAGGCGACTTGAACTTACATCCACGGCTCACTGAGGACAAATAACTAACGTTAGCCTGTGTTTAGTGTGTGTGTTTAAGTGTGTGCGTTTGTGTGTGTGTGAGAGAGGGCTCGCGCAGTCTCATCGCTACAAATTACATTACCGCTCGTTTGAACAGCACAGACTCCTTCAGAGCGTATTTGATTGTCTCTAAGGACATGAGGTGAGTTTACCATTTAATCTAAATATTTTGAGCGCTTTGTTGTGGATTTCATGCAGGCTAGTCTGAGCTAAGCGCTTATGTTCAAGATGGCGACGAGGGTTTGAATGCTAAGGTGAAACATTCAGCTAACGGTTTTGGTTTAGACTCTCTCCAGTCTCGTTTTACAGTTTATATTAACATATAGAGTTTATTTCCCGGTTGGTTTACATCTGTGTCTAGTTGAGATATTTCTCTTTCATGTGTGGATTCCGGTTAAATGGTGTTTTTCGGATGAACTAATGGTAGCTTGTTGGCTAACGCTATTAGTGTGAGTTTAAACCACACAGCCTGGAGTTTATTGCTGAAAATCATTATCCAAGTTTTGCCATATACACAAGTTTTCAGGTACACGTGGGGTTCCTAAAATTATGTGCAAACTCAAGTAGTCTGTAAAGTCGTGTTTGGAACAAGATTTATTTAGTGCTAAACGTGAAACCTGCTGCATTTAGCATGACACATTTGAAGCATTTGGATTTATATAAAGTTTTAACTTGTGCTGATATACTTTAACTGTATAAGTGATCTGTATCTTTTTCACAGGGACACTTAATGGTAAAATATTGACTATTGTATTTCTCAGGTGTAACTTACATATAAATATCAATGTGCAAGATTACACTTGTGTAATTTAAAAATATTGCATTAATATGTTTGGTCAAATAAAGTATGTATTTGTTTTATTTTTCGCATAAACCGAATGTTAAATTAGATATATTTTTCTCCCAATGTTTTTTAATGGAGAGATTTTTTTTCAACACATTTCTAAACATTAATTTTAATAACTCATTTCTTACTGTTTTGTTTTATTTTTGCCATGATGACAGTAAATAATATTTGACTAGATATTTTTCAAGACATTTCTATACAGCTTAGTGACATTTAAATGCTTAACTAGGTTAATTAGGTCAACTAGGGAGGTTAGGGTAATTAGGCAAGTTACTGTATAACGATGGTAGACTATCGAAAAAAATATAGCTTAAAGAGGCTAATATTTTGACTTTAAAATGGTTTTAAAAAGATTAAAGCCAAAAGCCATATTCTAGTCAAAATAAAACAAATAAGGCTTTCTCCAGAAAAAAATAAATAAATAAATATATATATACCTCAATTTGCACCTATATATGTTTCTAAACTGATGGTCATGCTTATTCTGATCAGAAATAGTGCTGTAATAGCCATGTTTAAAGATTACACATTACTGTAATATGTTCTGTTTTACCAGAGGCATTCAGAGTTGCATGTACATATTGCATTGACATGCGAGGGAAAAGAAAAACGTATCAGTGTTTTTGTTTTTACGTTAGTAGCGTTGGCAGTTTCTCTTTTTTGTGTAGCACCCTACTGTACACAATAACATCAATAAGATTTATTTTTTCTTCTCAGGGGGTCACAACAAGACACGTGTTAGATGGGAAGTAACTTCCAACACTTTTAATACTAGTTCAAACTGCCAAGCTTTCATTATTGGTTAGTAGGGTGTGAACGTGTTGAAAGTACTCTAATGATGAAATCGAACACAGCCTGTTGTAATAGTGTATATGCACAGCTAATGTTTCTTCCCATACCAATACACTTCAGGTGAACGGTTAATGTGATTTTTTTTTAATCTTGTAAGGGTTCTAGACTTCAGCATTCATTTAGTTGTTCAAGCGTAAAATGAGATGAAAAGCCGTTTACACGCATGCACTGTCAGGATCAGCAGGCGAGCGCTGAAACACAAGTGAAAATACTGAAGTAAAATAAATGAACATATTTTAAAGACATTGCATGGGAAACTGTAATTTAATGCGGTGCTGCTTTTATAATTTGAGACCCCCTTTATATCTTATATCAATTAGGCAGTGGAGATTGTTGATTTTTTTAAAGTAAACAGACCTTAACTGCGCCGATTTTGTAACTGCATACAGTTCACCGGAAGCGATTGACCCAGATTACTGCAAAATTAAAAGTCCTTCTGCATATAGCCTATCAGTTGCTTTCCAACTTGTTTGTTGGTTAGTATCAACTTAATGTTTAATTTTTTTTATTAGGAAACACTCACATCTGTTGCATTCAGATCTGTTGATTAGGGTGCACACAGAGCACATGCACTGCCATTGAGGCAGAAGGTTCATGTTCATGTGCAGCGAGCATGTTCATAACCACAGAAGTTGTATAAAAAATGTAGTTATCATTTGCACCTACAGCCCAGACTTTGTTTCCTCTTAAGGTGGCAGACATGGGTTGATTTGCCTTTGCTGTGAAAAATGTGACTGTTCTGAACTCTAATGCCCTGTATTAAGAGTTTTTTGACAGTATGATCTCAAATAGAGTACACAGTGTAGACTAAGGTGTAAAGGTACACATTTCCGAGTTTTGTATGGATTTTGTTTAATTCATGTTTAGGCCTGTCACAAAAATCAATATATTCACTATACATGGACATGACCACAATAAATAGACATGAACTCAAATAATTTTTAATAATGCACTATATATATATATATATATATATATATATAAAACATAGAAACCAATGTCATAACATATCTCTATAGGTGTCACTCAGTTTTAATGAACTTAATATATATATATCAATAGATATTGCGATATATTTTTATTCAATAACGGTAATATAACGGCTCTTTCAAAACTGCTGCCCACTTGCAAAAAAGTGACACATTTACAAATATCATTAAGGACATTTACTTTCTTAACATTAAATGACAGAATCTTCATAACCTTAAGAATATAAAGGTTTTTGTCCATTGTAAGCATTTATGCCAATTTGCATTTTTATGTTGTTGTATAGTCATTATATTATAAGTGACATAAAATTTTCTGGAAATGACAATAATATCACTTATCACAAATTGAATAATTTTATATATAAAACATATCGCACAACAAAAATCACTTATGACAGGCCTAGTCACGTTTCAGTTAAATTTCATTATAGTTGCTTAGTTTTAAACTGTTGGTTCAGAAAAGTTAATTATAAACATTTAAATAAAATGCCTGGCTGTTTTAAATAGAGAATTAAAGATAATAAATAAAATGGGATAAAACATAAGTTACTAATAGTTGAAGCAATTACCAAAAACAGTATACAGAATATAAAAGTGCATTCTTCTTTAAATAGTAAAAAATAAACTTTTTAAGAGTGGTTGATGTGGACAGACATGCATATTTCAGTATTTCCTTCTCATTGTTGGACAATACTCTATTTAGGATCCGATTAACCTTCTTACTGTTGGTTTTAATACTAGGTTTAAATGGACTTTAAATAGAAATGTACGCTAATGACATTTTCAGGGACATGTTATCGCAGAATAAAGGATTATTAACAGTTCAATGCAAAACACCAATTTAATTCCACAAAATACTTAAGCGATGTCCATAACTTGTAATCGAATGGATTTGCCTCGCGTTTCTATCTCCATATGCACATATGTTTGTTTGGTAGGTCTCTTTGTATGTTTTTGTACTTGTGATGTAGAGCGCTCGGGTTCGAGCACAGTTCTACAAGAACGATAAAAGCAATGTAAAATTAAACTGTGGTTGCAGTGAAATTGTCTCTTTATTCAGTTCATTTTTTCATTGTCTCTTAAAAACATGTTTGTTTGCATTTAAGAAAGGGTTTAGGTCAGTGTTTTGCTTGATCTGTACATCAAATCTTAGACATTTACAAGAAGGACATGTTTTTGAAATGTAAAACAAAATGTACCCTATATGTAGCTTAGTTAATATTTGCAAAAATGCACACAATGCCTTTAGTAGATTTGTCGTCTCAAATGTGCAACTAATTGTACACAGAGCAACTTATTGTACGTTTTGCTAAAATGTAGGCTTGTTCGCATATTTTCAATTAGCCTGGATTTGGTCTTTAAGAACAAACTTAAAAACCCAAACACTTGATACAGAGTTTACGCCTTTCTTAGCGTGACTTAATTGCTTGGTTATATACATTTTTGTGAATGTGCTATGTTGAAGAAAAATGTGATATATTAAGTTGCAACTACATTGCCTGATGTGTTAAAAAGCCTTTCAGAGGGTGTGCTAATAGCAGACACAAACACACTTTTGTATTAAATCACAAATTTATTGCAAACTATTGTAATATGTATATTGTAATATCCACATCTGTGATATTTCAACATGGCGCATAGCCTTAATGTGGCATCTAAAGGACTCAATACATGGTTATCTGAAATAATATACAATCTAAATTAATTAGAAAAATGTAATTGGCTGTAATTGAATGATC